ATTCCCATGAGCTTATTTGCTATGCCAACCTAAACACATTGCTATCTTTGACTGGCAGTGGGCACAAACTGACTCTTTGCCCTCAGCCACTGGCGAGCAGACTTGCTCTTGATGCATCTTCCCTTCAAATTTTCTGAGTTACGAATGCTCTGGTCAAAGCTGCTGGCACCCCAGGTTATCTATCATTTTTCACTCCTCTATTTTTTACTTGCATCAGTATCTTTCTTGATGCCAAGTTCCACTATTTTAAAAGAAATAAACCTTAGTCTCCCGTTACCATTCTTCTTCCTGAAATTTAGTATCAATGAAGAAAACTAAGAATCATTTTATGGAAATATTTAATAAATATATTTTCTCAGTACACATTCAAAAATTCCACTTGAGAATGGTGTATTTTGGTACGACTAAATCTCATGACAATGTATGAAACACCCTTAATTACTTTCTAAGATGTGTTCCTTTAACTGGACTAAAATACCACATATTTTAAAAAATAAGTATTCTGCACATTTATGATCAATAATTATTTGTAAACATTTGTAAAATTCAGAAAGGTAAGTGTTCTTTCCAGGACAATAAGCTCCAGGAGGGCAGGAATGGAGTTGTTCTTGTTCACTGTTGCATTCCCAGCACCCAGTCCAAGGCCAGACAAGTACAAGGCATTCTATGAGAATTTGTTAACTCACACACTTTAACCTTACTCTATACACTTTTGTGTAAAAATTAATGGAACTATCCTCTTAAAAGCAAAGTGTTAAAGGGAAATTGCATGGAAATGGAAGGAGACCCTCAGGGTTATACAAAAGAACATACAAGAGGAAATGAGGGGAAAGGGAAAAATAATACAAGGGGGAGAAATGAAGGTCAGTAGAGGGGGTAGAGAGAGAAGAGGGGAGGGGAGGGGAGGGGAGGGGGGATAGTAGAGGATAGGAAAGGTAGCAGAACACGACAGTCACTAGTATGGCAATATGTAAATCAATGGATGTGTAATTGATATGATTCTGCAATCTGTATATGGGCTAAAAATGGGAGTTCATAACCCACTTGAAGCAAAGTGTGAAAGATGATATATCAAGAACTATGTAATGTTTTGAACAACCAACAATAAAAAAAAAAAAGAAAAAAAATTTAAAAAAAAGCAAAGTGTTGTAGCGAACTGTTATTCTGAAACCAAAAGGAAAAAAAGAATTCTAGGGTAGTAGTCTAAGCACTTTGGAGAAAGCAACAGACTATCCTGGAATTTATACAAACCAGAAAGGCAAAGTCTGGGTGTGGCCTGAAATACATCATTTAGAAAAGCATAATATAAAAATATTTTCTAAATGCATGACTCCATGTATGAGACTCAGATGGCTCTCAAAATTGCAATGCTGGCTCTGCCAACATGTTCCCCAAGAAAAGCAGGAAACCATCCAGAGGCCGGTGTTAACTCTTGACTACATTCCAATGACCTACTTAAAAATGGATAAATGATGAAAGACTAAGATGAATACACATATTTTAAAACAAAGCTGTAAATGGGTGGAAGCTTACAGAAATGCTAAGATAAACAGCTTCTGTAGACGTTTTCAGTTAAGACGATTTTAAAAAGTTGAGTCTACAATTCAGGGCCAGTGATTGTAGAGCTGACAGATGCCAAAGGCAAAGAGAATTAAGAACAGCAGGGAACATTTATGGAGCACCTAGAGCGGCAAATGCTGGGCTAAACGATTTGTATTTCTATCCTCACAGCAGATGAGGTTAAAAACCCCTGTATCTACTTTAGAGAAGATGAAATCAAGGCTCAGGACAATGAAAACTTGTCTATGTCTATACATTAACTGATAAGTACAAATGATCAAAACCCAAGTTCGACTAGAAAAATCTTTCCATTAATCCACACTTCCTCCTTGTTACACTTGAAAAAGTCAAATGAATGAATATCGGTAACTGAGAATCTCAAAAATATCGTGAAAATATTCAACAGCTGAAATCTGTTACAACTCAGATAAACTACATCTAGGGTCCTTGAGATGAGATCAGAACAGTAACCCTGAAGGGCACCATAACTAACAGATGAAGGGCAGAGGCCACTGTCAGTTTTTAAAGGATACATAGGACAAGAATGAGAAGGGGTACATATACGCTGTTAGCCAGCAGTCAAGTCTCTTCTGCCTTTGTATCACCAGGATCCTGCCCAGTGGCTCATGCAGGATGCTCAGGAGATGTTGACTCATTATTATCTTTAGATGCAGGATTAAAACCTTCAGTCATGCAGATGCAAGACTAAAACCCTATTTTGAATAATTTCATGGGGGGAGAAAGTTCCCAGTTATACGGGAATATACAATAATCAAGACAGACTTGAGAGGAAAATGACACTTCTCCATTCTCCTTTTGGGAAGTCATGGTTCCCTGACTTTTACTATTCAAAACTCAATACTACAGTGCTTATAATTCTAATTCAACTACACTTACAGTCTGTTCACAGCAGTTATCATCACTGACAATGCTACTACAAGAGAATGAATTCCAGGTTCCAAATGACTGAGTTACAGTATAATCCATTTAATTGGAAACTACATACACTTACATCATTTTCTCTCATTTCAATCTTTTCCTCCAACAAAACAGAAGTTAGTGTCAAGTTCATTTGATAGCACTTCCGTAATTTCCAAACACTTTAAATTAATGAGCAAGTTAACAGAGGCAAATTACCTGCTGCAGTTTGGGTTTTAAATGTTCTCCAAAAGCGCATCTGTTGGAGGCTTGGACCTCAGCTCATGACATTATTGGGTCATGGTGGAACTTTGCATGGGACCTAGTGTGAGGTCTTCAGGTCTTTGGGGGCATGCCCTTGAAGGGCATCTTCCTCTTCCTAGCTTTCTGGCCAGAGATAAATAGCTTTGTTCTGCCATATGTTCTTTTGATATGGCACCATGGGCCCAAAACAACTGGGCCAACTGATCATGGATTGAAACCGCCAAAACAAAACTTCTCATCAGTTGAACATCTCAGATGTTTCTATAGTAACAGAAAGCTAACACATTGGCCTTCAGTTAAACTTCCCCAAATCCTCTTTCTTCATCAGTACCAGTACAATGCAAGTTGAGTACAAAAGTTAACATCAAGTTTATGGACATTCTCTTTATACAAACAGAAAAAGTAGCAGTGAAAAGGGAGTAATATTGACATTTAGAATTTCCCTTCCTCTTATGTATGTAGCAGATGCAGGGTGAGCATATTTCAGAATTAACTCCCTAATATATTAGAGATACCCTTGAAGAATCTAACATGATGGTTTCACTATCCAGGAGACTATTACAGCCAGAAGGATGTGAAGAAAGGCAGTTACTGACCAGGTCTTAGCACACAGAACAGCTGTCAGGTTATGACTCTGCTGCCACTAAAAGAACACAAAGAAAACATGCACCCAAATACATACAGGAACCCAATGCCAGTGGTAGAAATTGTAACAGAAATATATTTCTCATGCAAAATAGGCCAAATGACAAATACCTGCACAATACAAATAAAGATCTGAAAATTAAACTTTCTCTTTTGGGGGTACTGCCATGATTCTGTGGTTTCAATGGGTGTCAATCCCATGTTAAACTTGCAATTCTATAAAACCGTGATTAAGAGTATAGAAAGCATATTTTGGAAGAAACCTGGGTGTGTGAAAGATTGCTATGAAAAAAATGAAAACAGGAATGATAGAAGTATACTTTCTTTTATATACAAAAATGAAGGCCCAAAATATGGTTGTTGAAGTAGCTATCAACAAGATGTTAAATTATTTTTCCTTTGCTTTGGTTAAAACAGCCTTGGAACAGCAGTCAGTTCCCCTTCTACTAACAGCATATAAACACAGTGACAGGACTACTTTTAGTACAGAATAAACAACTTTCAAGAAAAGAAATTAAATTAATTTTAAACTAAATTAAACATTTTTACCAATAAATAATTTCTTTTAAAGTAGCATCTTCATCCTACAATCTCGGGCAGAACATATACACCAATTTAAAAAATAAAGTTTCTCCCACAATAGTCATTACAGGTGTTAATGTAACAAGCTATTAAATGAAATTACTTTAATGTACTTAAAAAAAATTCTAGCAACCAAATATGAATTTTAACAGTTGTCATTTTCTACAATTGTACATATTCTAAAATAATTGACTAATACTTTCTTACAGAACATAATTCAAACTATTGTTGGCATTTCAATATATTCCTAACGAAATGGTTAAAAGAACATTTAGTACACCAAATGTGAAACAGAATTTATAATTCTGATTTACAGCTAATAAAAGGCAATCAATTCCTATTTAAACTGTAACCAGTGATGAAATATACTTCAATAACAAACATTTGGTCTCACAATCTTTAATATTGGTTAAAAACAGTCTGATGTTTGTTGCTCATGGAAGTTACTTTAATCCAATGTGCAAAAAAAGGTGCAGCCATCTGCTTTTACTTGAAATACATAAGACCAACACTACTATTTACACACTTAGAAGATTTTTAAATTTACTAATTTAAGCAAGCATATTGCATCTCTTTTATGGATAAATCATGTGCCACAGAGAGCCTAAAAGCTGGATGACATTCCATTAAGCCACATAAATGTTTCTTGTCCTAATTTTGAACCTAAATATAAATCCAATTTCAAAATCAATTAAGAATTATTTTGATCTAATAAGTCTTGGAATTGTTGCACATATGAAAACCTTGTCTCTGAGAGCTTTCACTCCTCTCACCACTGGTCTACTCCACAAACCCCCACTTGTTGCAGAAGGACAATGCCCCCAAAAGAGGAACCTGTGAACCCAGCCCTAAGCACCAGCATCCTGTGGGTTCACAGGATGATGTAGTACGTATGACTACAGCTTTTGGGGTAGATATGGGGCAATCGAAATGGATGAAGAAACACTTCAGCAAAGCAATTATTACCTGTGCACAAAAATAATGTAAAACATTGACAGAAAAAGTGAATAAAACAAATATAAATCTAATACCATTCTGCATTTCCAGAACTTGGTTTCACACTTGCGCAGTGTTCTTGGTCAATCACCCACCAGCATTTTCTGGGTCTGTATGAAGAACGTTTATTAAGTTATTCAAACTGCTGTTTTGACCATAAGTCACGTGTGACTATGACGATTAAGAAATCAATTTACTCGATTATTACTCTGTGCAGTGCACTCACAACGCGAGTGTAGAGGATTAAAAATAGAACAGAAGTCTCTCACCTCTAAACTGGACATAGGAGTTCTCAAATTAAAATCATAAAAAAGAAAGGGAGGGGAGCTTACTGGCAACAATAGACTAGACAGGACACTGAAACGGTTTGGTCAGAACTTAGGAACGTAATTTCCTTGACAAAGTTCTAAAAACACCTAACCAATCACTGCCTTATGTCCAGCAAGTACACTGCTCCATTCATTTCCATGAAAACATAATAACTGGCATTCGCTGATCACGATCAATGTAGTCCCAGTCTCGGCTTCCCAGGCGCAGCACTCGGGTCCTGCCACCTCTAGCTACAGGCTATTGTCTCCAACTGCTGCTCGGCTTCTGCAGCCATGGCTGCGGCCTGCAACTGTTCAGTCTCGCTCTGGATGGCACTGGGGGTAACCTGCTTCCTCTCGCTGTGCATATTGTTCTCATGTCTCTTCAGATCCGATGCCTTGGCAAAGGCCTTGGTGCAGGAGCCACACACAAAGGGCTTTTCGCCTCTGTGCCTCCTTTCATGGTCCTTAAGGTGGGACTTGTGTTTGAAGGCTTTGTCACACATGTGACATGCGAATGGTCTTTCGTTACTGTGAACTCTCTCATGCTTCTTTAAGTCTGGGGCACGAATGAATGATTTTCCACACACCTCACAACTGTAGGGCTTATACCCTGTGTGGATTTTTAGGTGTTCCTTCAGGTGGGCCTGGGTGGTGAACCCTTTTGTACACATTTCACATACAAATGGCCGGTCTGCGGTGTGAAGTTTCTCATGCTTCCTCAATCTGCCTTCATCAGAAAATGTCTTACCACATGCTTGGCAAGCAATCTGCTCCCGGTGGTGACCATAAAGTAAATACTCAAACTTCATGTCACTGGTGGCAGTCCAGCCTGGTGTCTGTTCATCTTTTACCTCACTCATTCCATCATTAAATGTTAAGGCTTGAGGGGTCTGGGACCCCAAATCTTTGGACTCTGGGGTCTCCATGGATTCTACTTCCTGACCGTAGCAATTTACTTTTCGAACTTCCTCGCTCCCCAGCTCTTTCAAAATCGCTTCCTGAACCCTGAGTGTAGTCGTAGGTGACTTGCCGTCCTCTTGACTTGGGGGGGTGCCTTCTACTGTGTCATCTGAAGGACTGTCATCCTGATCCCCGATTTCTTCCACATCATCATCCTGAGTGTCAGCAGTATCTCCAATGGGGCGATTTATTTTGAGGCAATATTTACTCTTTGATTGGCCATTATTTTCATCAGGACTAGATACATCTCGCTTCTGAGAACAGAGTTTATCCAAAAATCTGATACCAAGAATCTGACCTGATGACATCATTAAGTTAACATCTTCCTTTTTCACGGAGATCTTTGCTGTGTACATGTAGTTCAGGACCTCTTCAAATATATCAGAACGAAGAAAATCTATCTCTATTACTGAAGAGCTATCTACCTCAAGCTTCTTGAAAAGCTTTTTAAAGTAGGTGCTGCAGGCGGCAAGAACACATCTGTGTGCTCTGAATTTCACATCTTCAACCACAATAGCAATATCACAAAATTCTCCTTCCAGGCGTTGTTCATTTAGTGTTTTCAGAAACAGAGTTTTATGATCATCGTCATTGTATTTAATGGTTTCAGACATACTGATGAAAAACTCCTATGAAAACATTTTTTAAAAAAGGAGTTTAGTAATCATGAATAATACTTCATAGAGAAAACACAGGCAGATTTTCATTTTATGACTGATTTTTGGAACCTAGCAATTTCAGAAAGTCAATGTTAAGGATTGCCCAAGAATAAGGGCAGAAAAGACTGATGCCAACTGAGGGATTTCCGTACCGTTTTCTGTTTATCTTCAGTGTACAAAATATTTGTTTACTTACAAGATCAATAGCAACCTTCACAAAATACATGCCAAGCATTATTCTAGGCACTTTATATATTTTAACTAAATTCATGTCCAAATAACCTTGACTTATTCTACAGCCATTTAGTGAAGAGCTAGGACTCAAATGCAGATAATTTAGCTTCAAAATCCATGCTTCTAGATAACCAGAGGTAATCACAACACAAGTGAACCTCAAGGTTTAAGAAACAGTTTGGAGGCAAGAATCCTGTAGACCTGTCTATAGAATCTACTCTAATACCACACACAGAGAAGAGTTTCTAAAATAACTTAAGAGCTCTCAGTGCAAAGTTTTCTATACAGAAGAGAAAACCGCTGACACAGAACTAGAAAGGGATGTCATTGCCAAAATACGCAGTGCTGTCTTCTAGTTTTTCCATAACAGTTTTATGTCACTCCTAAATGAGGGTCAAGGTTTAATGTGACCTAAGAGAAACAGATGACTTCTGGGAAAATAATGATGAGTGGCTTCATTCCCACTGGTCACTAACTGCCATCCAAATAAAAGTATCATCAATATTGGATGCACAGGTTGAATCTATTACCTGAAGTGCTTGGGACCAGAAGTGCTCTGGATTTCAGATTTTTTAAATTCTTGCATATATATAATATGAGATATCTTGAGGTTATGACCCAAATCTAAACATGAAATTCATTTGTTTCACATATAACTAATATATATAGCCTAAAGGTATTTTTATTTATTTATTTTTGAGTACTGGGGATTGAATCCAAGGGCACTGCATCTTCAACTACATCCCCAGCTCTTTTTATTTTTTAAGACAGAGTCTAAGTTGTTTAAGGTCTCACCAAGTTGCTGAGCTGGGCTTGAATTTATTATCCTCTGCCTCAGCCTCCAGAGTTGCTGGGATTATAGGTGTACACTACCATGCCCAGCTGAAAGTAATTTTATATAATAAATTTAATAATATTTTAAACAGAATTTCATGGTGTAGTATTTTCCACTTGTGGCATCATATCAGCACTCAAAAAAGTTTCAGATTTTCAAAATATTTTGAACTTCAGGTTTTTGAATTAGGGAAACTTGACCTGTTCTTGCTAAGAATTTTGAGTTATTTTACAAGAAAAGAAACTTAGAACTAGCATGAAGGACCTCTGTCACAATGTTAAAGAACTAGTCTTTTAAAAATAAGGTGTCCTATTTGTTCTCTTAAAATAATTGTTTTACTTTTATTCAACATAATATAAATGTGAGGAAAACACAATTTTCCCAGAGAAACAGACTGCTATATATAATCAGAATTGAAAATATGCATTTTATAGCGAACACAAAATGATTTTTTCAAGATTTAAATTCAAAGGTATAATTACCATGAACAACTCAGGCAATTATCTTAATGCCTTAAACGCCAAAATCTTCAGATCAGAATAACTCTGATCAGGTGCACACCAGACCTACAGAGAAGAAGATAAAACAAGAGTGAGGTAACATCTTTCTCTATTTTGAATTCTCAACTAAGAATGTTGTCAAGAATTGAGTTAAATAATAATAATTTAAAAAAAAAAACCCTCCAATTTTTGTGCCTCTTGACCCACTTCACACTGGGAGTAGCAAAGTGGGTGATGAGTATCAGACCCAGTTCTGAACAGATATGGACTAGAATGGGTGAGGACTGGGCACAAGAGACATGGAGGGACTGTACACTGCAATAGGAAGGATGGGTTGGAGAACCGTTAAGGGATTACTCCTCATTAGCAAAGCCATGTCCACACTTGTACACATGTGGACCACTACACAGATGGCAAACTCCAATAAGTAGCCCTTACCCCCATCATTTCCAGTTGGGTATGCAACCTTCTACATTTTCCTCTAGGCTTGTACAAACATATACATGCACTTATATAAAAAACAGACAAAGCTGTACAAGCACACATGTAGCATGGGAGGAAAGAGTAGCTGTTTTCTTTACACACCTGTGTGATATCGAGCACACTTGTCTTTAAGATTGAACTTGTGAAATCCTAGTATTTTATCTCTATCCCCACAGTCTCAAAGAAATTTAGCTTTTTAACTCTTATCCGAAGAACTCTTTCCTGCACTCCAATATCTTAAAAACCAAAACTCTTCCTCTACTAAACCATGACCAAATAAACTGGTATAGTAGGAGCACAGGACTGAGCTGTAATACAGTCCCACAAAAAAAAAAAAAAAAAAAAAAACTGATGCAAACCTCTAACCTGAAGACCAAAGTTCCCTCTATAGAAAACACTAAGCCAACTAGAATACTAGGGGGGGCGGGGGGGGGTCTCATCTGCAGTGTGAAGGCTGGGCAAAATTATTTCTAAGGATGCTTCTTACTTGACCATTTTGCTCCCTGTTCTTTAGGGTCCCCAGGGACTACAGTCACCCCCAGAGAGAGGGCAGTCCAGGGAGAAGTTTCCTACCCTGTCAATTCCTACTGATGTAACTCTTGGGGCTTAGAAAATAAAAGTGCACCGGTCATACAGTGTCCATGTGTGTCCTGTGTGTGCGCATATGTTTTCCTTCTGTGGCTAGTGTGTATTTGGCTGTCCCCCTCCTCAAGATCTCTTGAGGACCTGAAAGGAGAGACCATGTGTTCACTGGCTCATTTTTTTTCTATAGAGATGTTCCAATTGCTAAGTTCAGATGAGTCAAACCGGAAGACAGCCATTGCCAGTATTTATGTGGGTAAGTGCAAGAAAAGATGTAGCCCCCAACTACACCTCCACAATAAAGCTGCCCCTTTGCAACTGCTCCCCAAATCGCGAGCACCCAGAGTCGCCCGTATGGAGCAGGGAGTGGGGCTTCCCGCAAAGCCAAACTTACATAAGCAGCCGCAGCCGCCACCCCTACCCCCGAGCAGCTGCGACAATGGCTGCCGCACGATTTCAGAAAGGGGAGGAAGCAGGGAATAAAGAGCAAGATCCGAGGCGCTTTCAAAGCGTGTCCAGCCCTCACTCTCATCTCTTTAGGCCTGGGACGTGGGGGAGTGAATAAAGCCTTTTGCATTCCTTCCCAAACAAAAGCTCCCGGCCTCGGAGCTGCCTGGTGAAAGCGTCACTTTCCCTTTCATAATCAGACTAGGGGCGCAGGCTGTTGGCCTGAGCTCTGAGCGCGGGAAGAAGGGGCCGCGGCGGCCCGGCGGCGCGACAGCTCGGGAGCGGGCGTGCGGCCGGCTCCGCAGCTCCGCGCCGCGCCCCGCTCCGCCCGCGAGCCCGGAGCTCGCGCCCCGCGCACTCCCCGGCCGGCTCGCGCCGGGCCCTCCCGCGCCCTCCCGTGGCCGGGGGCGGGGGCGGCGCGCGGCCGGCTTCCCGAGCTCCGCGGGCGCACCCAGGAGTGCGTGCGCGGGGGTCCCAGCCCCCTCCTCCGCAGGCGGCTGGGGGCGGCGCGGTGGGGCCCGCGGCTCCGAGGGGCGGCGCCGGGCGGGCTGCACTTGGCGCCAGGCTCGGGCCATCCCCACCCCCACAGCGGTGCACTGCGGCGGTGCGAGCGGGGGCGGCCATGAACTCGGCCGCCGAGCGCGCGCGCGGGGCCGCCACCGCCTGGCCGCTCCCCGAGCCCGCTCACCGGCCTGCGCGGCCCCCGAGCGCCCCATCCCCACGCCCAGCCCCGGCCCACGCCCGTCCCCGCTCGCACCGCGCCGCGCCGCCAGCGGCGCCGCACATCCTGGAGCTGGCTGGTGCCCCAGAGCTCGGCGGGAACGCGCTTCTTCAAGGCCGACCCGCTGCGCCAGCCGCCCGCTGCCCCCGCGTCCCCGCGCCCGCCTCGCGGATAGCCCCGGCCCCTTCCGCACCCCGGCCCGCGCTTACCTGCAGCCTGGCACAGCCACAGACACTCGCCGTGGGCTCCCCGCGTTCTTTAGCGCGCAGGCCGGGACGGAACGGACGCGGGGCGCGGGGGCACGGTGGGTGGCAGTGTTTTGGATTTTTTTTTTTTTTTTGGAGTTTGGGGAGGGGGCGGGGTGGGGGAAGTCGTGCACGTCCCTGATGGTAGCAGCCCTCCTCCTTGCACGAGCACAGAATGTCTAGCCAGCCGTGAACACCCCCACCGCCCCCCCCTTCCCGTGCATGCGCGGTGCGGGCTGGGGGGAAGGCGCGCCGCCGGCTTGCGCAGGCACGGAACCCAAGGAGGCCTCCAGTGGGCGAGCAGAGAAAGGGTTAATCCGGGACCTTGCCGACGCTTTCGGTGGTGTCTACGGGGCCGCCCCCGGAGGCCCCTGGCCTGCGCACGCGCGCGCACGCGCGCGACTTGGAGCGCGCGGAGCCCGCGCGCGGGAGAAGGGGTGGGCGGGGAAGGGGCGGGGCTTCGCTGTTGAGAAGCGTATGCACGAGCGCAGCCCGCGAGCACCCGCCCCGCCTGGAGCTCCCGCCTTCTGCTAAGACTCCTGGGCTCCCGCCCGCGCCCTGCGTCTTCGCCGGGGACGCGGGAGCCAGCGCTCCCGTGCGTGTGCATGTGCGTGGGCCTTTGCTGCCGCTGTGCGCGCGCGGGTCAAGCGTTTTGGCTTCAGGGCTTGCCGAGGCTCCTGGGTGGGATCCCTGGACAACTTTGCTCTTGATTCATTCTGGCCGGTGTGTGGATGAGCGCTTGCGGGCAAAGGAACTCGATTGGCGTCGCTACCGCATCTTTTATAAGTGGTTGTTTGCAGAATGAATGAAAAAAGTGCCATCTTTGATTTGAAGTGTAAGGGGTGAACCCAGTCACCCAAGAGAAAGGGATTACTTCTGAATCAAGCCAAGCCCGCTCATTTAGCAGGGTATTCTCAAAGAAAAGTCATGCTGGCTGGAGGCGGTAGCCTTCCAGGAAGTCGTGGCCCTGGACTAGATTTCATTTGAAGCTCCATTAGAGTTGGGGGTCAGCTCAGGGCACTGTCCTTAAATCTGTTCTGGAGAAGTTAAAGCTCCACTACTGGTTGGGCCTGTGCCTGGTCTGAGTACCTGGGAAGTCCATTCAGCTCCCAGGTTTTCTGTCCACATTAAGAACGGGAAGTTGGATTGGAGCACTGCAGATGGCCTTTGAGTTGGTCTTTTATCACGATTTAACAACGTATTGCAGAAACATGCATAATTTAATATATGAAATTAGAGCGTACCTTCCTCTTGAGCTTGTATGCAAATTAAGATAATGCTTGTTAACAGGGTACATAAGTAAAAAAGAAATGATATTATGATTGCCTCCGGCCCATGTCCCTGGCTGGAGATAGAAATGGGGTTCTTCTCCGTGGTACTGGCTGGCTGAGAAATAAAAGCTAAGAGAAATAAAATGGCGAAAAACGACAGAACACAGAAAGTAGTTTCAGAAGCAGAGGCCAGGACGGGCAAGCTGATCAGAGATCAGCTTCTAGACAAAATGGAGCCATGCCTGCTTTATTTATATAAGGAAATGTCAAAGAGATTTTATAGAATGGTCTTTTCCAAAAAAGGTTAAAGGTGGGCTGTTCAGTTCCTAATGGGTTATGCCTATCTCCAGAGCTACTGTGAGGAACCTTCCTAGCAGAGCGGAGGGAAAGATCACATGCATTGGGCAATCTATTGTGGGAGAGCCACCCAAAGTTTCCAATGCCAGACCGCTCTCTCCCTGGCTTCCATGCTGAGAGAAGATCCTCATGTATTTCACGGAGGGCTTCCTGAAGTTGCCCATATTTTCTAAAGGAAATTCTGTATGCCCTTGTTTGATTTTGTAATGTCAACCGCATTGGTTTAACATTTCCCAAGGTGCTTTTATACACATCTTTTCCAGTGCTCACAATAGCATGTGAGCATGGGGTTTAGTGAATCTGTTGATGGAGACATGATAGAATAGAGGGGTTCTAGAGTTAGGCACATCCAATTCCAGTAGTGGTTAAGCTGTTTAACTTTTTAAAACCTCAATTTCTTATTCTCTGAAATGGAGATGTTAAAAAGAAAAAAAAGGCACGTAATAAGGCAGTTACAAGGATTGAGTGTAATAATACCCAGGTAAGTGCTAACACAAATATTAGCTCAAAAGTGTTAAAAGGACCTGCATCCACAGATGGTTGATTCCAGTGGGAGGGGCAGGCCCAGACCCAGAACATCTGTCTCCAGAGTTCATCTCATCATACTTGATCCCCTGTGAATACTTGCTTGATTCTTGTTTGCATAGCATGTACACTTCAATTCTGTTTCTATTTATGGGAGAATAACAACAGTGTGTTATGGTATAGGGTTATGTCATCAAGCAATCAAGCCTGACATTGCAGTTACTGTCTGTGAACATGGCTAGCTCTCAGAAATGTTCATTACTTCTGCCCCCCCCCTTATATCATGCATGGACATTTTTATTCATTCTGCTTTTGTTTATTATCTGCTTACTGTGTGAAGACAATCTTTTTGCCTATGGCTAGGTTAAGTCTTCTCACGTATGATTAATCTGATGAAATTAGAATAATTCTGAAAAACGTCAAGGTAGAATGACACACTCTTGACATGTTGATTTTGTATCAGTTATTCCTTACATTTATGTTTGTGTCACCCAGGCTCTGCCTGGCTTTTTCTTGCTTGGTCATGAAGTTCATGGGGATGAATCTAAAGTAAAGATACAACTCCTTTGGAAGGAGGAGCAAGAGGTGGGAAAACAAAAGAGAAGGGCCTGACCCAGACTCTCATCTGTGTTCCCACACTTAATCATGTATCTCCCAACACTCATGAGGTTCATAGGAAACATCAGCTGACAAGTGCCAATTTAGGGGAGTTAATCAGGATCAGAGCCTTCCTCAAATAAGCATTTTTCCTCTCCTATAGACTGTCATCCTAGGTGATAGTTAGGATCCAATAACTGCTGGGGGACACTCAGAGCATGTTGACCCTCACTAGGGATGTCCATGGCCTCCTGAGTGGAACCTGTTTCTAAGGATTGTGAAGCCTGGGCCTGTGGTGTGAAGTGTGAGGTGCTAGGGCCTGGAGTGTGTACAAAGCAGCCCCCTAAAGATTCTTGGGGGCTCGGGAGGCTAAGGCAGGAGGATCGCAAGTTCAAAGCCAGCCTCAGCAAAACTGAGGCGCTAAGCAACTCAGTGAGATCCTGTCTCTAAATAAAATACAAAATAGGGCAGGGGATGTGGCTCAGTGGCAGAGTGACCCTGAGTTCAATCCCCAGTAACTCACCCCACCCCCGCCACCAAAAAAATATTCTTGGAAATGACAGGTCATTTGGGGTTCTCACAGAGGAATGGAGTTGATTTCTCCTTCACACCGACTCTGGACCCTCCTGATTGTTTTGACGGTGAAGCACTGGTAAATGAGAGTGGGCCAGTTCTGAGTAGAGGCTTTGAGAAGCAGCCTGTGTTCCACTCGTGTGCTGTGTGGTCTGCCTCCAGAGGAACACACACAGGTCACCACTTCCTCTTCAGCCTGGGCCCTTGAAGGCAAACAGATCTGAGAGAAGGAAGCCAGCCTGAAAGCCTACCTAAGCCCACCCCAAATTGGGGCAGACAACAGTTCATCCACAGATCCATGAGCGAGAAATAAAGGTTTGTTTTTTGAGTCACTGGGAGGTCATGTTTTGTGCATTGTTATTGAGCAAAACCCAATACACCTGCAGAAGGAAATATGTCCCACCCAATGTCATAAGCACCCATCCCCTACTGCTCTGAAATCCCTGGGTATGGCAAATGAACAAAAATAGATCCACAGAGACAAAGATGTGCTCATTTCAACAAAGGATCACATAATGATTATACAATTGTACATCGTGATAAGTGCTTTTAAAAACATTGCATATGATGAAAAAGGAAGAGGAAGAACTAGTTTTGATTGAGAAATCAGGGAAAACTCCAAAACACATTTAAGACCTGTAGGGCGAGGGAGAGAGAAGGCCAAAGCAGGGAGGGATTCATTTCAGGCAGATCTGGGAACAGGATCAAAGGAAGGAAATAGGTGTGCGTGACTCTTCAGAGGACAAAGTGACTGGAACACAGTGGACATGAGAAGGGCCCATAAGAACAGCAGGGCCCAGCAGAGGGCCTCACAGGGAACCGGCTGAGTTTTTTTATTAAGCACAAGAAAAACCATCAAAGGATCTCTGTTTTAAACTAAAATTTACTTGGGCAAATATATTAGTTTCCTAACCAGACTAAACTCAACATTTGGCACACAGATAAGACTTGCAGTTTCCCCACCTTTAAACACTGTTGTCTAATACACTGAAATTGGAAATTCTAAAAAAAAAAGATTTGGAGTTTCAAATATCTTCAATAATGAGACCATTTACATAGAACTTCCACAGTTCATGTTATGGGGGAACATTTTAAACTCCATCCTTTACTACCTAAAAGTAGAAAACTAACAGTTTACTAATGAAATTCACATAAAATGCTATATTAAGAAGTATAATATTGACAAAACTTCTTTTTTCACAATTGCATGATTATCACAGTGGAAATGAAAAGAGAGAAAAATCTAAATTACCTTAGCTTTTTCTGGATCATTAGAAGAGACTTATTAAATAACAATAAAAATGCTATATACTATCTGGGAATCAAATAAAAAGGAAAGAGGTTACTAGTAGATTAATTTGTATGGAATATACATCTATAAAATATTATCCTAAGGAATTATAATCCCATGACATTTCCATTAGAGCCATCGTATATCCACTTACTAATATTCAAAAGAGAAAAAAATTCAAGCCTGTTTTAGAAAAAAGATCAAAATGTTATTGTGATGTTTTTGAATTGTGTTATTGGTATTAAAAACAAAAATACTATAGTAATTGTAATTCCTGCAAATTGAATGAAATGGAAACAATTTATATGATTCACATTTAAATAATCTATGGTTATAAAACATTATCCTAAGACATAATTTCATCAAATTTCCATTTGAGCCATGAAACATTCTCTTAGTAGCAATAAAAGAGGAAAAATATCAAAGTCACTGTATCAGAAAGGTAAAAAGACATCTTGCTATTGTTCTGACTTCAGAAGTATCTTCATTGGAAAGTGATGTCTATTTAGAAGGTGGTTCACCTCTGTTTTCTGGTTGTGTGGACAGAAGATTGAATCCAGCACTTGGTATAAACTTTTCTTGTTGGCAATTTTGGGTGTACCAAGCCACCTTAATAGAGTGAATTCCTAGGGGGATTTGTTCTCACTTTCAGAAGAGGAGAATAGGTTGTCTCCTTCTCAGGAACTGTCCTCTAGGACTCCTCAATA